CCCTGCGGAACCTGGGTACACACACCTGTGGGTTTCTCACACTGCGGAACCTCAGTACACACGAGGGGGGTTCTCAAGCTGTGGAACCTGGGTACACACCCCCGCGGGTTTCTCACGCTGTGGAACCTGGGTACACACACCTGTGGGTTTCTCACACTGCGGAACCTCAGTACACACGAGGGGGGTTCTCAAGCTGTGGAACCTGGGTACACACACCCGTGGGTTTCTCACGCTGCGGAACCTCGGTATACACAGCACTGAGAGCCAGCTGGCACCCCCACTGCATCCATGTAGCTAATGCTGGTCATCTCACCGCAAGAGAAGGAAGCTAACGTGAAATGTAGCTTTACAGCCCAGTAAGAACTGTCTGGGAGCCTGAAACACGAGCCTATCCAAAGATCCCATCTCGTGCTTCCTTAGGAAACAAACGCCGCGAACACTTTGATGGATGTAAAGGAGACATCCCACTTTGCTGGTGTGCAGGGTAGATGCTGCCCACCCACCTGTGGGCTCAGAACACTTGAGTCGGGCTGTTACTGCAGGTAACTCAGCAGACATGAGCAGGGCAGGAGAGGGCCCAGCGCCCACCAGGAATGTCAGGCCACCATCAGGTGATGGTCAGGTGGCTGCTCGCTGTCTCCAAAAGAACTGGTTGCACCAGCACCAGGGAAAGGCAGTCTCCCAAACGACAGAAAACCCCTGAAACCAGTGATTGGCAGCTCCACAATAAGATCTCAGGAGTGGGGCAGGCAGGCTCACAGGTGTGCACCGAGAGGCAAAATGGCGGCGTGTAACTGTTCCGCGACTTCCTTGGGACATCTGACAGGTCAGGGAAGGACGCCTCAAGTGAGGGCGTGCGCAGTTCCAGTCAGCTGGGGCTGCACGCTCCCTCCCACGTGCCAGCAGGCCGCTGCGCGGGTGCCAGCCCACCCCAAGGGAAGAATCAGGGAGAAGGGACGCAAGACTCTGAAGCGTGCCAATATATAAAACCGCACACGTGGTCTTGTCGCCCACCTGGCCCTCTTCCGAGGGTGCTTCCCTTCCTTCCACTCCTGCTCTAAAACTTGCCTCCGTCCCTCCTGCCTCACGCCCCTCAGTCGAATTATTCCTTCTGAGGAGGCAAGAACTGAGGCTGCTGCAGCCCCACCTGGCTTTGCCGCCACGGACACACCGTGGTGTCCCGACTCAGCTGCATTCTGCCACAGCAGCCCTAGGAGCCCGCCTGAGCTCCACGCTCCACCATGCGCCTGCGGAACCCTCACACTGTGGTGAGAACCGTTGCTCTTTTTTTTTTTGTATCAGGGTCTCCCTCTTTCACCCAGGCTGGCGTGCCAGGCTGCGATCTCGGCTCACCGCGGTCTCTGCCTCCTGGGCTCCTGCGCTCCTCCTGCCTCAGCCCCTCGAGTAGCTGGGACTGCTGGTGGCAGAACATACCCCACGTCCGACACCAAAGCACGTTAGCAGCAGTGAACCGTCCAGGTCTGCAGCGGCCCCAATCCTTGCCCCTTGGAAGAAGGAATTTGACTGAATGGCATGAGGCCGAAGAGATTGAGGCAAGTTTTAGAGCAGATGCAGCAGTTTGTTAAGAATGAAGGGAAGTGAAGCCGCCTTGAAAGAGGGCCAGGCGGGGACTTGAGAGGTCAGGAGTGTGGACTGACCTTTGACTTAGGCTCCTAGACACTGGCACGCTTCTGGGGTCTCGACTCTTCCCTTGGGGTGGGCTGCCCACAGTCACAGTGGCTGCCAGCACCGGGGAGGGAGGGGGGCAGAGTGTTCACTGCAGCTGTGTGCACGCTCCCTTGAGGCCTTCTCCTCTGACCAGCCAAAGGTCCCTGGGTGGGGCCCTCTCCTGCCCTGCTGACATCCGACTGGCCACTGACTGTAACAGGGCCACAGGTGCTCGCCACCATGCTTACCTACTTTCTTTATTTTTTACAGACGGGTCTCCTTGTGTTGCCCAGGTTGGTCTCAGACTCCCCGGCCTGAGCCATCTCCCACCTCAGCATCCACAGTGCTAGCGATTCTTTAAATGAGTTACCCAGTAAGTCGGAGCACAGGTGGAGAGCAGCCGCAAGGCAGGGAGGGGCTGGGGGGTATCTGTGGGGTTCCCACAGGGGTGCTGTCTGTGGGCCCCAGGGCCGAGGTGACTGCGCATGAGACACCTGCCTGGTCGGCTTTTGGGAGGAGCACTGGGGGTGGGACGTGTGCGTGTCTGGAAAAGAGCGTTTCTGTATAATCCACAAACATGTTCGTTAAAACCAATGTGGCCACCAAGAGGACCCCGGCGGAACACCGTTCAGTCTCTGCACACTGTGGTGACACTAAGAAAAACGAAAACCAAAAAAGGGGGCCAAGTTTGACACCCTGAAGTTTAACAGGGCGAGGCGGTTAAGAATTCAGCCACAAAGTAGTTTCCCGGGGAAGCCGCGTTCGGTAAGGGAAGCATCGGAACACCTGGGCTTCCAGGAGCCCGTCCAAGTCGCCTCGCTGCCACCGCACCCCAACCCCACCCGGGCTACTCCGGGCGGCAAACGGACCGAAACAAACCCCGCAGCCGCGCGGGGAAAAGACCTGCAACGTGGCCGACTTCTAGGACAGCGGGGGCCATGCCGGGACCCCCACTGCCGGCTGCGGGGAGGGCGAGGAGAGCGCGCCCCCTTTCCTCCCCCGGGCGCCGCTCCCATCCCCTCCCCGGGGACCCCTTCCCCGCCCCGGGCGCCTCCTCCCTGCCCCGGGAACCCCCTCCCCTCCCTTCCCGAGGGACCCCTCCTCTCCCCGGGGTTCCCCTCCCCTCCTCTTCGTTCCCCTCCCCTCCCCTTCCCTCCTTTCCCCGGGAACCCCCTCCCTTGTCCCCAGCGCGCTGGGAGGCGGCGACGAGGACGCGGGCCCAGGCGCGGGCCGCTCCTCCGCGCGCCGCACGAAGGGGGACGCGCAGGGGGCGTCTCTCGGACCGGGCCGGGGCGCAGACCTTTGTCCGCCTCCTGCGCGCCCCGCGCCGCCCGGGCCGCCGAGATGGACCCCGGCGCCCCCACCCGCCGCCCTCACGCCCGCCCCCAGCCCCTCACTCACCCCGGCGCCCTCCGAGCTTCTCTTTCGTACACCCCGCCCTCAGGCGCTGGCGCCGCGCCCCCTGGGACTTGTAGTTTTTCCTCCGCCCCCGCCGCGGGGCCAGGCTCCGCGGCTCCCAAAAAAAACTACAACTCCCGGCGGGCCGCGCGAGAGCCGTCCTCTCCCGGTGGTTCCGTCGAGCAAGGCCGTTGGGAGGGCGTGGTCGCGGAGTGCTCTGGGAAATGTAGTCCTGGGAGACCAGGTTCATGCCTCGGCCCCCCCCACCCCGGCAGGGACAGACTGCATTCCCCAGGATTCCTCGCGCTCCGGCGGCTTGGCGTTGCCGGGAGACGGGGCGGGGCGTCGTCCGAGTCTGCCGGATGGGGCCCTTGGAGCTGGACCCGGGGCTGCACGGGCGCTGGCGTCCGTCGCGTTCCGTCGGTTTAGGCGGCGGCGGAGCGGTTGGGGGCGACCGCGGCGGCTCCGGCTTCGTCCGAGGCGGCGGCGCGGCTGCACCACGTTCGACCGCGGGCGCGCGGAGCCAGCGCCCTCCAGACCCACAGAGCGCTCGGCCAAACGCGCCCGGGTCCGCAGCCGGCGCCTGTGCGGAGTCCTCGGCGGGACGGACCCCGGCCCGGACCCGGGGGGCGCCCGGGGACCCGCGTCGGCGCCGCCTCCCGGACGGATCCGGGCCCTGCGGCCTCCGGACGCGCGACGGGGTCCCAGGTTCCCCCTGTGGTCCGGCGGCGTCGCTGCCCCACAGGCCGGGCGCGTGGGCCTCTCCGGGGCTCCGCCTCGGGGCCACCCGGGAGAAAACGGACTGTGTGCGTCCCGCGGCGCCCGCAGCCTTCGGCGAACACGTTTACAGGCGCTCCCTGAAGGACCCGGGGCGGCCGCCCGCCGAGCGAGGGCTTGGGCCTGTCTGTGTCCCGGGCCTCTCCGGGCCCGGCCAGCGCCCCGGGTGCGGTTCGGTGGCTGCAGGTGGCGCGGGCCCCCCAGGCCCCCCCAGCCCCCTCGGCTCCTGGTAGCTCCCCGGGCCCCCCAGGCCCCCCCAGCCCCCTCGGCTCC